GGAAAAAAAAAAAAAAAAAAGAACAGCCCGGATCTTAATACCGATAGCAGCGCTTGCGAGAAGTTCCAAAACGTACATGTCCTGCCTGGGAGCGGAGGCTAGACGGTCTTCCTGAAAGGGACGAGGTAAGGAGGGTCTGCGTTCTGCAAAGGGGTTTCGGCTGCCTGGAGACGTTCTCTGCTATTAATTAGCCAGATTCCAATCCACTGCTAACCTACAAAATCTATTGGATACAATGTAGCGGAATATAGTGGATACAATGTATCGGAATATAGTGGATACAATGTATCGGAATATAGCGGATACAATGTATCGGAGTCTATCGGATGCAATGTATCGGAATCGATCGGATGCAATGTATCGGAATCGATCGGATGCAATGTATCGGAATATATCGGATGCAATGTATTGTAATATAGCGGATACAATGTATCTGAATCTATTGTATACAATGTATCAGAGTCTATTGGATGCACTGTATCGGAATTTATCGGATATAATGTATCAGAGTCTATTGTATACAGTGTATCGGAATCTATCGGATATAAAGTATCGGAGTCTATTGTATACAATGTATCGGAATCTATTGTATACAATGTATCGGAGTCTATCGGATACCATGTATCGGAATATATTGTATACAATGTATCGGAATCTATTGTATACAATGTAGCGGAGTCTATTGGATGCACTGTATCGGACTCTATCGGATATAATGTATCGGAGTCTATTGTATACAGTGTATCGGAATCTATCGGATATAATGTATCGGAGTCTATTGTATACAATGTATCGGAATCTATTGTATACAATGTATCGGAGTCTATCGGATACCATGTATCGGAATATATTGTATACAATGTATCGGAATCTATTGTATACAATGTAGCGGAATCTATCAGCCACAATGTATCCACATCTATTGGATACAATGTATCAGAAACTATCGGATGCAATCTATCGGATACAATGTAGCAGAATCTAGCAGGAATAATGTAGCAGAATCTAGCAGGAATAATGTATCGGCATCTACGGGATACAATGTATTGGAATGGGTGGAATTTCAGGTCCCTGAAGCCTTCCTGGGCTAATATGTAACAATATTTCCATCTTTTGCTAACCTACCGCAATCTTAGAAGCATAGAAGAGTGATGGCAGAAATGGACCAAGTGCTCCATCAATTCTAAACTTTTTCATTTTTAATGTTTTTGTTTTCTGTGTTTTCCTTGACTATAGATCTTTTGTCCCGAGCATGTTTACATTTGCTTACTGTTGACTAACTCCTTACCTCTGCTGGAAGTCTGTTTCAAGTATCATCTACTCTTTCTGTAAAAACATACTTTCTATGGTTAGTTTAGAACTTTCCTCCTGCTGGGAAATCAGGACCTCCTTCCTCCTGCTGGGGACCCCTCTAGTGATAATACAGATCTATATAGAGGAATCAGGACCTCCTTCCTCCTGCTGGAGATCCCTCTAGTGATAATAAAGATCTATATAGAGGGATCAGGACCTCCTTCCTCCTGCTGGGGATCCCTCTAGTGATAATAAAGATCTATATAGAGGAATCAGGACCTCCTTCCTCCTGCTGGAGATCCCTCTAGTGAAGCCCCACAGGAATTCTATTCACTTTCCACACTGCCAGGCCACGAAGTTTGCTTATTTTGATTGATCATCTGAAATAATTGTTTCACTCCAAGTGCATTATTTTGCATGTAGATATGTGAGGCTGCGGCAATGCCAAATCGCGTTCCATCTTACAAACACCTCCAGGAATATCAACCTTATTACACACTTTTGTGTCATCAATAAAAAGGCAAACCTTACCCACCAATCCCTCAGTTATATCACCTAAAAACGCCTTTAAGAGAACCGGACCTAGTGCAGAGCCTTGTGGGAGGTACGCCACTAGTGACTGGTCTCTGTTTTCAGCTTCCTGAACCCATTCTGTGCTAAAACGTAACAATATTCCATTCTATAGGATACAATTTATCACACCAGAGGTTCCATATGGGTTTTCAGCTTCCAGAAGACTTTCTTTGGTAAAATTTAAGATTCTGATCTCTTGCTAACCAACACAATTTATAGGAGAAAGTTTGTGAGATTCTGGATTCTTTCACCTTCCTGGGTTTGGCGCAATATTCTTTTCCAAGGTGAGGGGTGATTTTGGATGGGATTTCAGCTTCCTGAAGGGGTTCTGTGCTACTATTTAGTCATATTCTGGCCTATTGTCAGCCTACACAATCTATATAGGATGAGATATATCAGACTCAGTGGCGGACCTAGGGAACAAAGGGCCCTGGTGCAAGATAATTTTTTGGGCCCCCCCAAAAAACCCACAAAGCCCCCCAACCCATATCCCCTGTAGCAACCAAACAAAAAAAATTGGAAAAATTGCATTGCTGTATAAAGTATAGCTGAGATTTGTAGTCCTCTATAGAGGGTGCCATTCTCCATTGCTGCAATGCAGAATGGCACCTGCTATATAGAACTACAAATACCAGCAGTACTTTATACAGCAATGCCATCAATTGGGCTACAAAAATAATAATTGTATTTAATAACTTACCTTCACTTCTTCTGGCTGTTTTCTGGTGGGGGAGGCTGCAGATAACCACCCCAGGGTGTGTGTCCATCTCAGACAGCGCACCGTTTGGTAACCGGCGTCCGGACACCAACGGCCCCCCCATCTCTGCCCTGGGGCTGTGTTTGAATGGATACTGGGCCCCCCTGTAGGCTCAGGCCCCGGTCGCACCGGCCGTAGTTCCGCCACTGATCAGACTGCTGATTCTGGATGGATTGTCAGGTTCCTAAAGCTTTCTTGTGCTATTACTACATGTAACAATCTTTTGATCTATTGGTAACCTAATCTATTGGATGAGATTTATGAGATCGGAGGATTCTTTCACCTTACCGATTTTGCCGGAATATTCTTGGCCTAAATCTAGGGTGTCTGTTGAGAGTTTTGGAAGGGGTTGCAGCTTCCTGAAAACATTCGCTGCTACTTATTAGCAATACCCGGATCGATTGGTATCTGACGCAATCTATAGGATGAGGTACATCAGAATACGTACCGCTAACGAATTTCCTCCGAATCTCGGAAAATGTAGAATTGCACAATGTAGAAGTGGTGCTGGCCGGCCGTGGGTCGTATTTTGGAATATTTTCTCCCCGCATTGCATCAAATGTCCTTTTCTTCACTCCAACAGAATATTGATCACTGTCCAATCAATCAATGGATTTCTCTTTGATTGATTTTAACTTGAAATGACAGAAGAACAAAACACGGAACGTTTTCCACCGTTCTTTATCCGTCCCTCTTAATATCCGACGTGATTAATAAAATGTTCACGACTTTCATATTCTGCGATCTGATCGGAATATTGACGACTGAACCTAATCGATCGGTCAGATGAGACTCTCAGAGTTCCTGCCTGGAATAATGATCGTATAGAAGGTGACGGGTTGTGCCGGGATCGGATCGATGTTTTCTGCAGCTCAGCGATTGCTGGAATTCAGAACTCCGTCCAGACCAAGATCTGTTACTTCATAGACGGAGGCTCCGGAATCCGGATCCAGGAGACTGATCCAGCCAGAAGGAGGTCCGGACACTCAGAGTGCTGGAGTCCTATAGGGTGTGACTGTGGGGGGACATTAGAGTGTAAGCTCCTCTGTACAGAGACTGATGTGACTGTGGGGGAGGGGACATTAGAGTGTAAGCTCTAATGATTTTCATTTTCTGGGGATCTAATTAGTTGCAGTAATGAGGAACACTCATCAGTGTAACTCATCAGTGTGACTCGGGACCTTGGGGAGGGGTAATTGGAGTTCATAACGAGTGACGTTGTTGTAGAATCAGAATTCTTCCCCTCTTTTTATAATGACGCAGCTTCGTTTGTGGTGAGGAAACATGTCCGCCTCCCATCATTCATTGGATTTCAGTTCTGCCAATCATGGAGGCTCAGCATCACATGTGGGCATCACCTAGGGAAGTCTGCATGAACACTCGCTCCTCCAGACTGACACCCACCCATCAAGGCATTTTAATATTTGCATAACTCCTCCCAAGAGCCGGCCCACTGCTTACATCAGGGCTGAGGGCTCTTGAGAGGGGTACAGCGGCACAGTGCTGTGATGTTTTCAGGAAACTATGTACCGCCCCCTGCAGGCTCCTCCCACCAGCCATGATCTGTGCTTCTCTGTGCAATGCAGACAGAGACCTGGTGATGGCATCACTAGGTCCAGAATGAGGAATGTAATGAATATGGAAAGGTTTTTGTTATAAAATGTAATTAATATGTTGGCGAGGGGGGAGGGGACCAGGGAGGGGGGAGGGGCCAGGGTAGGTAAAATATATACAATGATAAGACTTTTCTGCTGTAATTTGTGAGATTTCGTGCTGATGGCGGTTCTCTTTCCCCCCCTCAGACTCTCCTCTTTGGCCATGATGTGCCCCACATTGAGTCCGGCGGGACGCAGTCCGGGCCTCTCCGACATGCACCAATACAGCCAATGGCTCTCCATACGGCACGAAGCCAACCTGCTCCCCATGAAGGAGGACCTGGCCCTGTGGCTGACCATCATGCTGGGTAAGGACGCCTCCCTCTACCACAAGGGTCAGACTGCCCCCACCCCCCAAAAAAAAAGTGATATTGCGGGTGTAGGTGGATTCTGGTGGGCTGGCAATGCGGGCAGATCATGCTGGTGGGAGGAGCCGGCAGGGTGCTGTACGTAGCTTCATGATTGCATCAAAGCACCCTGCCTCAGTACTTTTCTCAAGAGATGATCTCCTTCAGTCTTCTATCTGACCTTCATCCTTCCCTTCAGTATAATATCCTCATATATATGTTATTAGCCCTCGTATATCAGTTATCAGCCCTCATATATCAGTTATCAGCCCTCGTATATCAGTTATCAGCCCTCGTATATCAGTTATCAGCCCTCATAGACCGCTGAGCCGCTTAATGGATCTTAATGGATTTTCCATATAAATAAAAAAAAGGTCTTTTTCCCGCAGATCCCTCGTCTCTGTTCATTCACTGAACTGTAAAATATTTTGGGACCTCTGTCCTCCCCTTCAGTCTTCTATCTGACCTCCGACCTTCCCTTCAGTCTTCTATCTGACCTCCGTCCTTCCCTTCAGTCTTCTATCTGACCTCCGTCCTCCCCTTCAGTCTTCTATCTGACCTCCGTCCTTCCCTTCAGTCTTCTATCTGACCTCCGTCCTTCCCTTCAGTCTTCTATCTGACCTCAGTCCTTCCCTTCAGTCTTCTAATCGACCTCCGTCCTTCCCTTCAGTCTTCTATCTGACCTCCGGCCTTCCCTTCAGTCTTCTATCTGACCTCCGTCCTCCCCTTTAGTCTTATATCTGACCTCCGTCTTTCACTTCAGTCTTCTATCTGACCTCCGTCCTTCCCTTCAGTCTTCTACCTGACCTCCGTCCTTCCCTTCAGTCTTCTGTGTGACCTCCGTCCTTCCCTTCAGTCTCATATCTGACCTCCGTCCTTCCCTTCAGTCTTCTATCTGACCTCCGTCCTTCCCTTCAGTCTCATATCTGACCTCCGTCCTTCCCTTCAATCTTCTATCTGACCTCTGTCCTCTCCTTCAGTCTTCTATGTGACCTCCGTCCTTCCCTTCAGTCTCATATCTGACCTCCGTCCTTCCCTTCAATCTTCTATCTGACCTCTGTCCTCCCCTTCAGTCTTCTATCTGACCTCGGTCCTCCCCTTCAGTCTTCTATCTGACCTCGGTCCTCCCCTTCAGTCTTCTATCTGACCTCCGTCCTTCCCTTCAGTCTTCTATCTGACCTCCGTCCTTCCCTACAGTCTTCTATCTGACCTCCGTCCTCCCCTTCAGTCTTCTATCTGACCTCCGTCCTCCCCTTCAGTCTTCTATCTGACTTCCGTCCTCCCCTTCAGTCTTCTATCAGAGACAATAAAGTTATTTTCTCCCGTCTTCCTGGCAGGGACGGAGGTGACGGCTGAGACCTTCCTGGAGAAGCTGGATAACGGAGCTCTGCTGTGTCAGCTCGCCGAAACCCTGCAGGAGAAATTCAGGGAGAAGCTGATTGAAGCGGGAAAGTCAGACAAGGTGAGTGCAGCGCTGCGCCTTCCTCTGACCTCATGCAAAGTATACACTGTATATACATGCCAGAGACTGAGGAAATGCTTCCACCCGCCTGCAGCAGACTGATCACTGGGGGAGAGGAGACCTACAAGGTGCCCGTCCATCTGCAGGAGATATTCAGTAGCTGACTTTGCCTTCATATACCTCTTGCATACCCCGGCGGCGGGATCTCACCTCTACAACTCCCAAGTTTCAGCCAAATACATCCCTGGGCACTCCAGCTAAAGGTGAGCTACTTGTGGGCGGGGCAAAGACACAGCTAGTGCGGGAACTCCCGCCTCTGGATCTTCCAGGAGATGTCACCAGGGACCTGTCAGGACTTTGTTATCTGGTCGTTGCTTTTCTCCCGGAGGTGGTGCTTCAGGAATCTACAGAATGGCGACCGGCCCTGGAACTGGCATGACTTCCGCCGGTTTCGCAACAACATGCGCCCTGCGCTGCATGGAGACTGTGACCGGTGACCGGTTCCTGTGATCAACTCCCGGCACAAGAACTTTCATATATCCCTCAATAGACACAAAGCGGCCACCAGAGAATCACCCAAAAAAAAAATTGCACCGCTTTTGACAATGCAGCTAACGGCAATTTTCTGTGTGTTGGTGCTGCAGTGTGTGGTGTGCAATGTGTGATGTGCAATGTGTGTGGTGTGCAATGTGTGATGTGCTGCAGTGTGTGGTGTGCAATGTGTGGTGTGCAATGTGTGATGTGCTGCAGTGTGTGGTGTGCAATGTGTGGTGTGCAATGTGTGATGTGCTGCAGTGTGTGGTGTGCAATGTGTGATGTGCTGCAGTGTGTGGTGTGCAATGTGTGGTGTGCTGCAGTGTGTGATGTGCTGCAGTGTGTGATGTGCTGCAGTGTGTGGTGTGCAATGTGTGATGTGCTGCAGTGTGTGGTGTGCATGCAATGTGTGATGTGCTGCAGTGCGTGGTGTGCAATGTGTGATGTGCTGCAGTGTGTGGTGTGCATGCAATGTGTGATGTGCTGCAGTGCGTGGTGTGCATGCAATGTGTGGTGTGCTGCAGTGTGTGGTGTGCAATGTGTGGTGTGCTGCAGTGTGTGGTGTGCAATGTGTGGTGTGCAATGTGTGGTGTGTTGCAGTGTGCTGTGGTGTGCTGCAGTGTGTGCTGCAGTGTGCAGTGCTGCAATGTGTGGTGTACTGCAATGTGTGGTGTGCAATGTGTGGTGTGTTGCAGTGTGCTGTGGTGTGCTGCAGTGTGTGGTGTGCTGCAGTGTGTGGTGTGCTGCAGTGTGTGGGGTGGTGA